TAAATCTAGCTTTAGTTTTATATTAAACCTTTAATTCATTAAAAAAATTTTTTATTGGTATTAGCTATATGTATAGTTTCATGATCTTCCAAATGTAAACTAGTTTTGGAAAACTCATTTATTTAATAATCTGTCTTTTTTTCATATACATCTCAAATTACTTATTTCTCTCTCCATTAATCTGTAAGATTGCTAAGGTTGGGGACCATACTTTCATCAGCTTTGTATTCTTATAATGTCTTGCAATTCTGGAACATAATAACTCATAGCATCTATATGTTGAATAAACAGATTATCCTAAAATTTCATGAAGTTACCAGTAATAATTGTATTTGCAGGTAATTTTGTTCTGGACATTGAAATAAATGACATAGAGAAAGACATATGGAACAAAGGAACAATGTGACTGAGTTTGTCCTTGTGGGGCTCACTCAGAACCCCCAGGGACAGAAAATATTATTTGTTGTGTTCTTGCTCATCTACATTGTGACAATGGTAGGCAATACACTCATCGTTGTGACCGCGGTGGTCAGCCCAACTTTGGATGCCCCTATGTACTTCTTCCTTGGCTACTTATCATTTATGGATGCTGTTTATTCTACTACAGTTACCCCAAATATGTTTATAGACTTACTCTATGAGAAGAAAACCATTTCGTTCCAAGCTTGCATGACCCAGCTTTTTATAGGACACTTATTTGGTGGTGCTGAGATTTTACTCCTGGTTGTCATGGCCTATGACCGCTACGTGGCCATTTGCAAACCCCTGCATTATTTGACCATCATGAACCAAAGGGTGTGCATTCTACTGCTGCTGTTGGCCTGGATTGGAGGTTTCTTGCATGCTGTGGTTCAACTTCTTTTTGTCTACAACCTTCCCTTCTGTGGCCCCAATGTCATTGACCATTTCATCTGTGACATGTACCCTTTATTAAAACTTGCCTGCACTGACACCTACGTCATTGGCCTCACTGTGGTTGCCAATGATGGGGCAATCTGTGTGGTCATCTTTATGCTGTTACTCGTCTCCTATGGGGTCATTCTGCACTCCCTGAAGAACCTTAGTCAGGAAGGGAGGCGCAAAGCCTTATCTACCTGTGGCTCCCACATCACTGTGGTGATCCTCTTCTTTGTCCCTTGTATTTTCATGTATGTGAGACCCCCTTCGCCCTTACCCATTGATAAATCCTTGACTGTGTTTTACACTGTTATCACCCCTATGTTGAACCCTCTAATCTATACCTTAAGAAATGCAGAGATGAAAAGTGCTATGGAGAAGTTCTGGACCAGAAAAAGAAAATGAAGTGACAGACAAACGTATCATCTATTTTCAGTGAAGAGTTGCTCCCTCCAGGAAAGCCATGTGTGATTATTTAATTGTAGTAAAATTTTGCTCAGGTTTAATAACGTGTATGCAGTGAAAATCATTTATTACATGAATACTTGCAATGATCAAAATATATTTGTAAGATTTTTATAATTTATTAGGAAAATATATGTGTACTTTTGTCTGCAGAATGGCTCTTGAGATGATAAATTTATGTGTTATTAATACTGTAAATTTATTTTAGTTTATGAAAGGTTGTCTCATGTTTATCTTTTAAGTAAAGTTAATCCTTCTTCAGAATTAATAGTGCTCATTAGAGATTTCAGAAGAATTAATTAAGAAGTAAGACATAAAAACTTTGTTTAGTCCTCCCCACACGAATACAGAACACATTAATATTTGAAGTGTATATTTTATTTTTGTATTTGTAAGATACTTTACATATACAATTTTGTTCATGGTTTTAGCATATTAAGGTTGAAGAGGAATCATGCTTCTTTTATTATGAAGTATAATGCTAATCTTAAGGAGATTGAGTATACAAAAACAATCTGGATTAAAAAGGGAGACATGCAGGAAAATAACTAAATCTTACTTACTTTTCCAAATGAGAAGTCATATTAAGTCCTCAGGCGAAGCAGCTTGATTTGGTGCCATATTTTTATAAAGATGATCTATTAATCTCCTCAATGTGTGATGCTGCCCTCCCTGTGTCCATGGGTTCTCATTGTTCAACATCCGCCTATGAGTGAGAACATGCGGTGTTTGATTTTCTGCTCTTGTGTCAGTTTGCTGAGAATGATGGTTTCCAGGTTCATCCACGTCCCTACAAAGGACACGAACCCACCGTTTTTTATGGCTGCATAGTATTCCATGGTGTGTCTGTGCTACATTTTTCCTGTCCAGTCTATCATCGATGGGCATTTGGGTTGGTTCCAAGTTTTGCTATTGTAAATAGTGCTGCAGTGAACATTTGTGTGCATGTGTCCTTATAATAGAACAATTTATAATCTCATGGCCTTCTAAAAAAGAGCCAGGCTCTATTTTTCATATGTAAAAATAGCATAATCTATAATCTGTGAGCTTTATGCACTGTAGAGCTTGTTAGCAATATTTTGGAATACATCACTGTCAAGAAACACAGGCATGGTGGTGCATGTCTTGGTTTCATCTCCACAGGAGGCTGAGGTGGGAGGATCTCTTGAGCCTCGGAGGTCAAAACTGAAGTGAGCCATGGTTATGATACTGCACTCTAACCTGGGTGACAGAGCAAGGCTGAGGAAAAAAAAAAAAAAGAAAAAGAAAAGAAAGATGCTGGCAATATATGATGCTTCCATTCTTACTTTCTTTATTGATAGAATCCAGATTATTAGGTAATAAAAGGGCCAAAACATATTGTTTCATTGGAAAGAAACTTCATTTATAAAATCTTTGTGAAAATTTCTTTTGAATCAGGCTTGAAATAAAATTTTATCTGCCCCTGACTACACATAGAAAACATGTAGTCAAAGAAACTCATTGTTCCTGCTTCTCCTGTGTAGTTTGGATTCATGAGGGACTAAGACTAGGGGAAAAAAATAAGTCAATTTCACTGGTAAACCATACTATATGAGTTCATTTTGTATTATTTATTTTTATCCTTATTATTGTTACATGGAGATTTCTTATCTCATCCAAGCTTTTCCAAAACACAGCACTATTCTCCAAATAATATGAAGCATTTGGTGGTACCAGAGTTTACATACCTAGGTCATGCATTTTTTGACATGTATTTAATTTTTTTTCCATTTATTTATTTTATTGCATTTTAGGTTTTGGGGTACATGTGAAGAACATGCAAGATTGTTGCATAGGTACACATGTGGCAGTGTGATTTGCTGCCTTCCTCCCCATCACCTACATCTGACATCTCTCCCCTTGCTATCTCTCCCCATCTCCCCACCAGAGAAATGCAAATCAAAACTACATTGAGATACCATCTCACGCCAGTTAGAATGGCGATCATTAAAAAATCTGGAGAACAACAGATGCTGGAGAGGATGTGGAGAAATAGGAACACTTTTACACTGTTGGTGGGAGTATAAATTAGTTCAACCATTGTGGAAGACAGTGTGGCGATTCCTCAAGGACCTAGAAATAGAAATTCCATTTGACCCAGCAATCCCATTACTGAGTATATATCCAAAGGATTACAAGTCGTTCTACTATAAGAACACGTGCACACGAATGTTCATTGCAGCACTGTTTACAATAGCAAAGACCTGGAACCAACCCAAATGCCCATCGATGATAGACTGGATAGGAAAAATGTGGCACATATACACCATGGAATATTATGCAGCCATCAAAACGATGAGTTCGTGTCCTTTGTAGGGACATGGATGAACATGTATTTAATTTTCAAATTTGTATGGTTCTGTTGAGTGATGGAATAAAAAAAATCGTGGTTAATTGTCTGCTTATGTTTATTGGTCTGAAAGTTTCCTGAAGTCAGGGAAAGTTATTTCTTTTTGTGCTCCCTATTCCTTGCACAATGTCTGTCACATAGAACCCACTACACAAACTTTGTCAATTATTATTTGTATCCTTGAATTCTTAATCTATTGGAGTCATAATCTTTACTGATACATCCTGATAAACTTTTTTCTGTATCAAAGATGCATATATGTTCCTACCATTTTTTGATATTTGCTGTAAATATTTACCTTACTCTGTTATTGATGCTACAATTATGGATGTTTTTGTATACAAATGTTTTATCTTTTTAACCTTTTAATTTTAATTAATTATTATACTTTAAGTTCTGGGGTACATGTGAAGATTGTGCAGGTTTGTTACATAGTTTTACACGTGCCATGGCGGTTTGCTGCCTCCATCACCCATCATCTACATTAGGTATTTCTCCTAATGCTAATACTCCCCAATCTTTCCATCCTCTGCTATTTCTCCCCCAGCTCTCCATCCCCAGACCCCGTATGTGATGTTCCCTTCTGTGTGTCCATGTGTTCTCATTGTTCAACACCCACTTACGAGTGACAACATGCGGTGTTTGGTTTTCTGTTTTTGTATCAGTTTGCTAGAAAGATAATTTCCAGTTTCATCCATGCCCCTGCAAAGGACATGAACTCATACTTTTTTATGGCTGCATAGTATTCATTCCGTGGTGTGTATGTGCTACATTTTCTTTATCCAGTCTATCATTGATGGACATTTGGGTTGGATTCAAATCTTTGCTATTGTGAACAGTGCCACAATAAACATACCTGTGCATGCGTCTTTATAATAGAATGATTTGTAGTCCTTTGGGTATATACCCAGTAATGGGATTGCTGGGTCAAATGGCATTTCTATTTCTAGATCCTTGAGGAATCACCACACTGTCTTCCAAAATGGTTGAACTAATTTACACTCCCACCAAAATGTAAAAGCATTCCTATTTCTCCACATCCTCTCCAGCATCTGTTGTCTCCTGCTTTTTTAATGATCGCCATTCTCACTATGTGAGACTGTATCTCAATGGGGTTTTGATTTGCATTTCTCTAATGACCAGTGATGATAAGCCTTTTTTTCATATGTTTGTTGGCTGCATAAATGTCTTCTTTTGAAAAGTTTCTGTTCATATCCTTTGCCCACTTTTTGATTAGGTTGTTTGTTTTTTTCTTGTAAATTTGTTTAAGTTCTCTGTAGGTTCTGGATATTAGCCCTTTGTGTGATGGATAGATTGCAGAAAATTTTTTCCCATTCTGTTAGTTGCTGGTTCACTCTATTGATAGTTTCTTTTGCTGTGCAGGAGCTCTTAAGTTTAATTAGATCCCACTTGTCTATTTTGGCTTTTGTTGCCATTGCTTTTGGTGTTTTAGTCATGAAATCCTGCCCATGCCTATGTCCTGAATGGTATTGACTAGGTTTTCTTCTAGAGTTTTTATGATGTTAGGCCTGATGTTTAAATCTTTAATCCATCTAGAGTTAATTTTTGTATAAGGTGTAAGGAAGGGATCCAGTTTCAACTTTCAGCACATGGCTAGCCAGTTTCCCCAATACCATTTATTAAATGGGAAAATTTATTCCCTATTTATTAAATAGGGAACCCTTTCTCCACTGATTGTTTTTGTCAGGTTTGTCTAAGTGCCCACCAGAGAGGTGAGGGAAGATATAAAATTGACACCCTAACGTCATGATTAAAAGGACTAGAGGAGCAAGATCAAGCAAATCCAAAAGCTAGCAGAAGGCAAGAAATAACTAAGATCAAAGCAGAAGTGAAGGAGATAGAGACACAAAAACCCTTCAAAAATCAATAAATCCAGTAGCTGGTTTTTTTTTTTTGAAAAGGTTAACAAAATAGATAGACCACTAGCCAGACTAATAAAAAAGAAAAAAAAGAAGATTCAAATATATGAAATAAAAAATGATAAAGGGGGTATCACCACTGATCCCACAGAAATACAAACAACCATCAGAGAATACTATAAACACCTCTATGCAGAAAACCAGTAAATCTAGAAGAAATGGATAACTTCCTGGACACTTACACCCTCCCAAGACCAAACCAAGAAAAAGTTTAATTCCTGAATAGACCAATAGCAAGGTCTGAATTAATTGAGGCAGCAATTAATAGCCTATCAACCAAAAAAAGTCCAGGACCAGGTGGGTTCACAGCCGAATTCTACCAGACGTACAAAGAGGAGCTGGTGCCATTTCTTTCGAAAAGATTCCAAACAATACCAAAAGAGGGAATCTTGCTAACTCATTTTATGAGACCAACGTCATCCTGATACCAAAACCCGGCAGAGACAACTAAAAAAGAAAATTTCAGGCCAATATCCATGATGAACACTGATGCAAAAATCTTCTTTGGTTGGCAAACCAAATCCAATAGCACATTAATAAGCTTATCCATCACAATCAAGTCAGCTTCATCCCAGGGTTGCAAGTCTTGTTCAACATCCACAAATCTGTAAACATAATCCACCACATAAACAGAACCAAAGAGAAAAACCACATGATTATCTCAACAGATGCAGAGAAGGCCTTTGACAAAATTCAACAGCCCTTTATGCTAAAAACTCTCAATGCACTAGGTATCAATGGATTGTGTCTCAAAATAAGAAGAGCTATTTCTGACAAACCCACAACCAGTATCATATTGAATGGGCAAAAGCTGAAGGCATTCCCTTTGAAAACTGGCACAAGACAAGG